TTTTATTTATTTATTTGAGAGAGAGAATGAGATATAGAGAGAGAGCATGAGAGAGGGGAGGGTCAGAAGGAGAAGCAGACTCCCTGCTGAGCAAGGAGCCCGATGCGGGACTCAATCCCAGGACTCCAGGATCATGACCTGAGCCGAAGGCAGTTGCTTAACCAACTGAGCCACCCAGGCACCCCGAGGCATCACCACTTCTTACCTATGTCAAGGATCTCCATGTGCAGTCTCTGTTCTGTTCCAGGGGTCATACCATTCTGTCTTAATTATAGCCTTAGCTTTATAACAAGTCTTCATATCTAGTAGAGGTTTCTTTTTTCTCCACCTTGTTTTAATAATAAACTCCTGACTCCTTTTGGGCCTTCGTTCTACTCCATAAATTTTATTGTATTTTAAGTAGTCTCTACATGCCATGTGGGGCTCGAACTCACAACCCTGAGGTCAAGAATCGCATGTTCTACCGAGCCAGCCAGACACCCCTTGTACTACATAAATTTTAGAAATCATTTAAATTGGGGGTGCCTAGGTGATGCAGTTGGTTAAGCATCCAACTCTTGGTTTCTGCTCAGGTCCTGATCTCAGGGTTGTGAGATGGAGCCCCACGTGGGGCTCTGTGCTGAGCATAGAGTCTGCTTAAGACTCTCTCTCTCCCTCTCCTTCTGCCACTCTCCACTGTTCACTCTCTCTCTCTAAAGTAAATCTTTTTTTTAAAAGATTTTTTTTTTAATTTATTTAATTGACCGAGACAGTGTGAGAGGGAACACAAGCAGGGGGAGTGGGAGAGGGAGAAGCAGGCTTCCGGCCGAGCAGGTAGCTCGATCCCAGAGCTACCTGAGCTGAAGGCAGTCACTTAACCAACTGAGCCACCCAGGTGCCCTAAAATAAATAAATCTTAACAACAACAACAAAAAAGAAATATATGAGGAAAAAAACCTTTTGTTTGGAAATGTATTAATAATTAATATTAATTAGATTAATTTGGGAAGAAGTTACATCTGTACAATATTAAATATCCTTAGTCAGGAACATGTTTTAATTCTCCATTTATTGATGTCTTCCTTTATGCTGTTCAGCAAAGTGTACCTTTTTGCCCTAAGATCCTACATATCTTTTGTTGGATTTCTTATTAAGTATCTTCATTTTTACATCGTCTAAGAGTTACATTTTAAAACTATTTGTGGCTGGTATATAGAAATGAAATTGATTTTTGTTTGCTGACCCTATATTCAGGAACCTTGCTTAGTTCTTGTTGTTTCTAATAATTTGTGAAGTCTTTTGGGCTTTCTACATAAATAGTCACCTGCCGAATAATGTCAGTTCTCAATCTGTCTTCTCAATCCCTATAACATATATTTCTTTGTCTTATCTTACCGAGCTAACTTGACTGACATGTTCAATACAATGTTGGACTTAAGTGGCAACTCGTCTCTGATTTAAGAGGATTGCTTCTAACATTTGCGTGGACATGTTTGCTCTCGGTTTTTGGTTCATGCCCTTTATCAGGTTCATGAAACTTCCTTTTATATACATATGCCTATTTTGCTAGAGTTTCTTTTTTTAATAATCCTGTCCCTTCATAGGTATCGACCCCCTCATTCCCCTTCAAGGGCTGGGGTCTTCTACCAAGTTATTTTAATCTCATGGTGCCACCTGGTGGCACACTTTGAAATTTCTGACTTGATATCTTCCTGTTTCTTTTAGGGAACTATATGGATATAGTTTCTTCGTTTCTTCTGTTAACAGTGACACCCATCATTTAATTCTGTTTTCTCCCTTGTCCCTTGTATTTCCCATCCTCCTTTTCACTTGCTCTTCCGTACTTCCTCGATATACTCATGCAAATCATTCTTTTTTCCTTCCTTAGTTTTCTTGCTTCTTTTATGAGTGTAAATCTACCTCAATTATGGTTAATCATGGTAAAAGTAATGCTGGTGACTAAAGAAAAAAAATACAGCACATGTTTTTTAATGAAATCTGATACATAAAGTTCCAGCTCTGCTAACCCTCAAAGTCCTTGAAAATACTTAAAGTTCCCTTTAAAAATGTTCTCGGGCGCCTGGGTGGCTCAGTTGGTTAAGCGACTGCCTTCGGCTCAGGTCATGATCCTGGAGTCCCTGGATCGAGTCCCGCATCAGGCTTCCTGCTCGGC